CCTTTCTACTGCTAACCTTTTAGAAAGATCTTGTGATGACAGAGGAGAGAGAGAAACCCTAAGTGGTGTGCCACCCTTCTGGAGAGGAGTCGAGAGAAGAGATTGGAGGTGTAGAGAATTATAGGAGAAAATATCTTTATTTATAGATTTTTCATAGGCCAATATTTTTTTAAGGTTAGTCATTCATATACAGATTGAATATAGAAAATTGATCATAAGAAACTTGTAGAGTGAGAGATGTCTATTCTTTAGATCAACATTCATGATTAAAGAAAATATGTTAGAATCTTATCCTCCAGATTTCCAAACCTAATCCCACCATATATTATAATATGTATAATATTAACAATCATAGTTTTTTTTTTTTAATCTTCTTAAAATAATATTGATTGAAATCAATCTTTCTTAGATTTGAAATCATACAAAAAATTTGAATATTCAAACTAATCAAAAGGTATAACATACGCGCTTAGTTGTAGCCATTACATGTAGTGGGCTACTTTCCATTAAAAAATAGCTTAGTTGTAGTAGGCTATATTACGAGCACAAACACCATGTAATGGAAAATAGCTCACTTTACAAACTACTCAAAGGTATAAAAAACAACGTTTCCATGCAATGGTGTTTGTGCTCGTAATGTAGTGCGCTACTTTCCATTACTACTTTCAAACTACTCAAACTACCCTATTTTTCAAACTACTCAAAAGGCATAAAAACTTTGAATATTCAAACTACTCAAAAGGCTACTTTCCATTACCTACTTTCCATTAGGTAAAAGAATACACATCTCCAACCACCAGAGCTAAAACCTCATTTAAATTGTCCTATGGCGTTTGTGCTCGTAATGATTTCCTAGCAAGACTTCTCTATATGTCTATTACAGATATAGCATATCCATGTGAATCACAGGTATAACATATTCTTATTAAAGCATAATATATGTTTTCTAGAGCAAAAGTCCCACTTAAAAGGATATCTTTTTTTTAAAAAAAATATCAGTAGAACATCTTCGATTCCCCTCATAACCTTATATAACAACAAGAATTTCAACAACATATACGCACCCTTAAGTAACAAAATTCTACAAATGCATGAATGCCCCAAAAATCCATCAAACCCAAGTTTTTATTGCCTCTTATCCATCGTGCAGTATTTCACAGAAGACGTCATTCACTGCAGAGGACACTTATTATAAAGGAGCTACGACGGAGAGAGACTGTGCTTTTTCACAAGAGAGAGATTAAGTACATGACCTCAAATTCCCTATCTCATGGATACCAGCCATTGACGCTAACTCCGCCATCAACAGAAATAACTTGGCCGGTGATATACGACGCAGCCGGCAAGCAAAGGTATGCAACTAGTGATGAAACTTCCTCTGGCTCACCTACACGTTTCAACGGGGTTCGAGCAACTATCTGTTTGTAGTGCTCCTCGTTTCCTAAAATCTGTGCAAACAAGAAGACAATAAAATCATGAACAGCTTTAGATATCACTACCACTCCCATACCACTAGACTAGACCACTAGTTACCAATAAGGGCTTACTAGTTCAGCAAGTGGGGTTCTTATAAACCATGGTGTCACACTGTTGGTCCGAATATTGTCCTTTGCCCACTCGCAAGCGAGGTTCTTTGTTAATTGATTTATTGCACCTATGAGAGAACAAATGATGATGCCTTAGTCAAGAGGACAAATTCCATATAAAAAAGATATGATTGCTGAATAAAGATTTAGACATTTGATATGGGAGAGAGTACCAGAGTTTCTCTTTTCTTATTATTGGTGAGAGGAAGTATCAAGGTTATAGTTTTAGTTACCTTTAGTAGCTCCATATATGCTACCAACTTGGAGAGCAACCACCCCAGCAACAGAAGAGATGAAGACAATGCTCCCTGCTCCTGATGCTTTGAGAAGGGGATGTGAGAGTTGGCACATGTGGAAAGCAGATTCTAAGTTGGTTGACACTAAAAATGAGAAGTCCTCAGCTGTATAGTCAACTGTTTGTTTGGGAATGTTTGTACCAACATTATTCACCTAAAGCAAGCAAATCGAACAGATCAACCAAACTATTTGAGGTAATAAAGAAACACACAGAGACTATCATAGCCCAAAGTAGCGATTGACTACCCATTACAACTAAGCTGAGTTTGATGCCAGGAAGTCGTGATTAGTTCCAAAAATGTTGAAATGAGAAGGCAATATGTGCTATTCCTGAAAGATACTACCATGTTTGTTGCTTACAGAACAAAATAACAGATTAACTGGAAAACGTAAAATCAAATTTAAATAACAAAGTAACAAAAGGGAACTGAGCATGAAAAGAATAGAACAAGTGGAGGATGTAAAAGGGCCAAAAGGTCTTAAAAGGGATCAAAGTAAATGCGTAGTTTACCACAAGCTAATAGTTGCTCTGCATTGGGGCAGACAAATAACATCCCTTTTTAATTTTTGGAATCATTGGTCTCCCATGATCATTCCGAAACGAGACTTGGGAGGTGAAAAAGAAATAGTAAATACATTTATTTCAAGGATGCAAGAGAGAGCCCATATTTGGAGCATTTATTTCTCAGGTGCTCCGAATTTTGTGAAAGGAGCACTAGATAGGAGAAAATGTTTAAGCCTTTCAAACAACTTTTGTCTATATGTACTAAAACACAATGCTACCACATAATCAATTTGAAAAACAAGCCATATTTGGTGCTTACATCATCATCGTCAGTGCCTTTTCTTAACCAATTGGAGTCGGTTACATGAATCCTATTCCTAACGCCCTAGCTAACCCTTGCTCATTTCTCATTGTACCCAAGTTCCGGTACAGAGCCATTCGTGGTGCTTACATACATTACTTCAATGCCAAAGTCATTAATAGAAGGGAATGTAAACCAGGCAGTAGTAGTAAATATTGTTACTGCAGGACATCCACCACCAGTTCCTAATGATGGATGGTGGCGATCAACAAGAGTTCACAAAATCAACAAACTGAAATCTATGAATCAACAGTACCTGCTTCCTTTTTAATGCCATAATTATGGAGTCAAGGTTCCAAGTAGAAAACTAAGCAGTGTCCTTGGCATTTTTACACATGTACTTTTGTTAACATAATCATCTAATAATTTGTCAACCATTAAAACATATACACATTTCGACTTTAGAATATGAAATAAGAAATATACGGCCTTCACATCAACCTGAAGGCATTAAAGATGAATAAGAAGTTCTCTCTCCTTTGCAGTAAGATAGATCAAGGTATGATTATATGGAATTTACCCATTTTCAAGATTATTCAATATTATTAAAGCAACAGTTTGACTTACTGCTTTAGGAGAAATGAACATCGAACTCAATTACAAAGCACGCTTCAAAGGAATAGATAATATGAAGCTTACAAGGATATTCAGCTTCCCATTAAAATGTGCAGACACAGCTTCAATCAAATTCTCCCGATGGGGACGGGATGACAAATCACAAACTGAACCATGAACACTGAATCCCTGCCCTTTCCACTCATTTAAGCACTTGTTAAGATCGACTTCAGTGCGAGCACAAGTATATATTGATGCTCCTAGCCCAGCTAATTCTTCTACAATAGCATATCTACAGAAAGATTATAGGCATTTTAGAGAAACTCTGAAGTAATCAAAGCTCGAAATTCAAATGAACTATAAAGTATATTTAGTATTAAGAAGTACGTGTCATGCACATGGCACTATTGGATTTATACATAAAAGTTTCCAACTGGGGGTGGCCAACTTAAGAACAAGTAAACAGTGGTACAAGTAGCAAAATAGAATCAGATATAACAGAAAAAGGTTGTACAAGGCAATTCCCAATGATCGTGCCTAGGCATTTTCTTAACTGTTTCGTATCGTAAACAAATAATGGTCTTTTATATTAGGTTTTCACCCTCTCAAAAGAACCCACTCATCCCCATTAGACCATTATTCATGAGCTCTTTGAATTCCATGACTTTCACTGAAAGATATGTTTAACCATGTCAAAGGCTTTGTTTCCTTTAGTATCAATAAACAAAAGGGTTTCCACAATGCAAGAGTCTAATTTCCCAACAGTTCTATACATTTATACTTGCATACTGAAGATAAATATCTGACAAGAAAAAAAGTTGTACAGGTAAGATGAATCAAACTAGATATCTCCCATGTAATTAGAGAGGCTGGACTGTGTTTTCCAGGTACTTTTAACATTTTTTCCACACAGAATTTTGGACCCATTCTGCGACTGTTTAGGGTACGATAGCATGAGGGAAGAAGTATAACTAGCTCGGCAAAAGAAAAATAGTATATAACAAATGACAGGAGCCACATTTACGACAACGGAAATCAAATAACTTTGAATAAGAGATGTATAAGTTATCAAGCACATAACCACTTTTTGTTGGAACTCGATTGTGAAGACGATGACGCCTCATTTTTTGGCCCAGATAGTTTTACGATGAAATCAAATTGCTAGTTTATAAATTTAACTGATCCCCTGTATCCCAACGGGATCCAAGCAACAAACAGCTAAATAAGCAAGACGGCTTCATGCTCCTTTAACTGTTCCTCCAATTTCTGATAGGAAAAGGATTAGACACAATGGCTGCACAGGTTAATGTCAATTAGTTGCTCTGCCAAAAGATTACATAATCCCAATTAACCAATTTGGAAACACCAGTTTGTGCTCGATTAACCACTCCCCAGAAGCCTATCATATTCCATGGAAAACCATCCATATCAGTAACATATGCTAGGACACAGAGACATAGCAAAACAAAGAGTTCCGACAGTGACTAGTATATGCATATCTTCCAACAATTTCCCAATCAACAAACTAGATCCTAGAAAATAAAACTCCAGCTGAAAAGACGATTCTATGCTAAAGTAAGTAAAACTAGAAATTTAAACTATTCATTTTCTGCGAAAGCCACTCTCCCAATGGACTGAACTTCTCGAATTTTAAATAAGAAAGGAAAGCCCACTAACCAGCCTCAATGAATATTCAGCAAATTACAACACCCCAAACCAGTTGCTGAAACAATTTGAAATCCCACCAAAAGGAAAAGTTTAAACAGTATTTAGCGGTCTAATGATTGTCTCAGTTTGCAATATTTGGTTCCCAATAATTGTACTAAGAATGATCAGAAGTTTAAACTTTGTATTATTTGATAACTACCTCAGAAGACCAGGACCAGAAAGAATAAACCAACTACAGGTTAACTGACATGCATAAGAATGAACAAGAAGATTCAGTAATCTAAAAGCCACATATAGCTTAACTCAAAAAATTTAAAAGAAGAACTTCACTCAAAGTTCACCCCCATTGTCAGTGATAGTTATATCTGATGGGGAACGAATAAAAACAAAAATCAGATAGTCACATAAAGTGGGGTACCTAAAAAGTTGTGAGCAAGTTTCTTCATTGAAACTAAGAGAAAAAAAAGAAGAGATGATTCACTCTCTCTGGTTAAGAGAGAAACTAAGAACTTCTTAATGGATGAAAAATGAAAAACAAACTGCAACATCTATGGGAAGATAAGGTACAACATGAAACTTAGAGAGAATCTAGGAACACATCAATAGATAACTAAACTAACTGCAGTTTGAAACTTGAAAACCATGGAGAGAGAGGGGGAGAGACCCAATTCCCTTGGTGCCTCCAGTGACCAAAGCAGACATCCCATGAAGAGACCATCTTTCTCTTCTTCTTCTGCTGCTCTTCTCTGCTTCATCCATTTCCCTTCCTGCGGATAGCTTTAGCCACACACCCTCACTTTCACCACAACCCATGGCCATATATATGATAATGAAATGTCCGATCACTGCCACTTGTGCTCAACTAATTCCAAAGGCCGGCAGGTTCTTTGCTCTTTGTCTATGAAATGCTCAATCAACGCCACTTGTAACGCCATTTGTGCTCAACGTAAATACAAAGCCCGGTGGGCTCTCTGCACTTTGTCAAAAGTCAAAACTAATCGCTATCGGAGCTAACGGAGAGTGTGGCTGTATACTGCGTCATAAGTGACGTATATCCAGGACGCTTCGAGATTTGGGTAAGTTGTTTCATGCACCCTGGACCGCATTTCTATATATGCGGTTCAGAAAGTGTAAAGCATCCATCTGAAATATAAATATAAATGGGTGTCCCATCTAAAAACAAAAAAACACTAACAGTCCAAATATTTAGTCTTTAAAAAAAGACTTAATCCGTCACAAAAATACATTTATTAAGAGGCCCCCGTTTCTACATATGTAGGCTTGGCCGCATAAATATCGCGTTCAACAAGAAATTATAAATATGAAAGGTGGATGCAGTGGAACAAATATAATACCACAATGAAATGAAACCATACTTTTAAAAAATTATATTTGTGGTGTGGACCTGGTTTCCATGCGGTCAAGCCTGCAAATGTAGAAATAGGGGCTTATTAATAAATCTATTTTTGAGATGGAATTTTTAACTTAATTTTTAAAGATATATAATCTCTAACATACATATCATGAATACGAAACAATAAGCAAATTTTTAAAACATATTAGTAATAATTCTAGTAAAAAACATATGGACCATTAATGTCCATTGTTTTTAGATGGAGCACCTACTTGCATCCATCTTTAAGATGGATGCTTTACACTATTTAGACCACATATTTAGTCATGCAATCCAACACGCATAAAACAATTTTCCTTATGGTATTTGTATAGGACAAGCTTTCTATACTTCCCCTGCAACATAAAAATATATTTTCCTTTATCCAACCGTCCATTATGAATGGAAGGCTACGATCACAATGCCATGTCTCAACAATATTTTATTTTAAATTTTTTCTATAAAATATTTTGATACCAAATTTTGGATATCTAATCCTCTATTAAACTTGCACTTCTAAAAATACAAAAAAATATTCTCATTAAAATAAAATGACTAAAATAACCTTGAAAGTTTTAAGGGGTATTTTGGTTATTATATTTTATCAAAAAATTATTTTTAATATTTTTTGTTAGTGCGCCCCAATGACAAGATGATACATACCAAATTTCATATTCATACAATTTGTATAAAAATATTAAAAAGAAAATACTCTGAGGCGTCAAATCTAAAGATCAAACCCTCTTGATCAAAATTAGACGGCTGGATGGTAGGGGAAGCATAGATCTTCTATGTTGTAAGGGAAGCATATAAACATTTCCCATTTGTATGACCCAAAAATTACATACACTATTTTTTTTGTTCTAATAAAGAATCCTAAAAAAAACAAAATTCAATTTGCACTCTAGATATTGTCAAAATGAGTCCTCCAACAATAAATCCAAATCATTTATTTAGTGAATTTCAAGATGTAGGCCTTTATGAACTCAAAATCAGTTTTTTTTCCTTTTTAACATTGTCCATCTATTGATAATAAAACTATGTAAAAATCTAGAAAACAAAAAAATCCTTCTAAACAATCGATCTAAGCATCTTACCAAAATTGACGTCCTATGCTAATTAGGCTAAAAAAAACACTTTCTAGATGTGTTCTCAATTTTTCTTTTTTTGTACTTCATTGGAATGAGAAGAGTTTATGTTTAAAAATTGGTGGCTAACAAATAGTACTAACATGATTTTTGAAGATTGTTTTATTATATCTATATACAACCAATCACTCCCACGTATATCAGCATGCATCATTGTTTGCAAAATCGCCCGATCTAACTGCTAACCGCCTGGTTAGATCAAAACCAGTCAGTGTCTAGTTCTGGTTTTGGACGATTAGCGCGATGAAGCGGTATTTAAAAAAAAAATAAAAAATATATATATATATACATTTTTTAAAAATAAGTAATCTGATTTGTAATACATTTTTAGATATTCTTTACATTATGGAAAAGATTAAAATTTACTTTGGTCATTAATACTGACTTTTATATTTTCTCATATTTTTTAGAAAATTTTTAAACTAGCCATTGGAAAATATAAAATGGGTTAAAATCTATTTTATTCATTAATTCTGAACTTCATTTGAATGTGTTTTGTTGTAATCATTCTTTATATGTTTTTCATATTTTAGTAGATTTTATTTTTGTATTTTTTTATTTTTTTCAACACTTTTTTGACCGCTTGGGACTTGCCCGGTTAGAGGGGTTGAATCGGCCGGTTTATCGGTTAGGCCGGTTAAACCGCTTTTAGGCCCATATCTGGTTAACCGTTCCGATTCGATTATGTGAACACTGGCATGTATTTGATATGGAAATGTATACAATAACTCTGGTTATACAAAAATACTACTTATTTTTGTATAAGGAGGTCACGGTTATAGATTTGAAATCTAAAAGTCGAGAATATTTCATTCATCAAACTCAAAGTCTATAACACTTAAGTTATTCAATTTGTGAGTTGTGCTGTTGTTAATCTAAGGGCCTGTTTAGGTACATGGATTTTAAGGCGCGGATTTCTAATATATCGAATATTGTCAAAATCCATCGTTTGGATTGTTTGATGACTAGGATACCTAAAATTAGGAAAATCAAAAACATGGAAATAAGACCTACTTTTCCATGATTTTATTTCTACACCAAAACTTGTTTTTTTGGTAGGTATGAAAAATTTAGATAGAGAAAGTACCTAAAATTTTTAAAGAGAAACCATTTCAAAATTTTTAGAGAAAAAAACTCTTATCTCAAATTTTAACTTTTAGAGAGAGAAAGTATGTTAAAATTTTAAAGAAAGAAAGTACGAAATTTTCTGGAGAGATGAACTATCTCAAAATTTTAGAGAGAGAAACTATCTCAAATTTTAACTTTTAGAGAGATAAAGTATGTTAAAATTTTAGAGAGAGAAAGTACCAACAAATTTTAGAGAGATAAACTATCTGAAAATTTTAGAGAGAGAAACTTTCTTAAATTTTAAGTTTTAGGGAAAAACTATCATATTTTAGAGAGAGAGATTACATGCAAATTTTGAGAGAGAGAGAGAAAGAAACTATCTCAATTTTTTAGAGAAATAAACTATTTCAAATTTTTTAAAGAGAGAAACAATCTCATATTTTAATTTTTAGAGAGAGAAACTATATCACATTCTAGAGAGAGTACCAACAAACTTTTAGAAATAGAAACTATCGTAAAAATTTTTAGAGAGGGAAACTATATAAAATCTTAAGTTTTAGAGATATGAAGTATTTTTAAAATTGTAGAGAGAGAAAGTATTCTTGAACATTTAGAGAGAGACTATTATAAATTTTCAAAACACAAACAGCCAAAGAAAATTTAGAGAGAGAAATGTCTCATTTTTAGAGAGAGAAACTATCTCAAATTTTGAGTTTTAGAGAGAAACTATCTCAAATTTTGAATTTTAGAGAGAGAAAATATTTTAAAATTCTAAAAATAGAAATTATATCAAATTTTAGAGAGATAAACAACCTAAAATTTTTTAGAGAAACCATCTCAAATTTTTTGGAGAGATAAACTATCGCAAAATTTATATTTTAGCGAGAAAAAGTACATTAAAATTTTCGAGAGATAAACTATATCAAATTTTAAATAGAGAAAATACATGAAATTTTTAGAGAGAGAAACTATCTAAAAAAAATTTAGAGAGAGAAATTATCTTAAAATTTAAGTTTTTGAGAGAGAAAATCTCTCAAATTTTAAACATTAGAGAGAGAAAGTATCTCAAATTTTAAACTTTAGAGAGACCCTATATCAAATTTTAAAGAGAGAAACTATTTCAAAATTTTAGAGAGAGAAAGTATCACAAACTTGAAGTTTTAGAGAGAGAAAGCATCTTAAAATTTAATAGAGAAACTATATCAAATTTTAGAGAGAGAAAGTATATAAATTTTTCTAGAAAAAAAACCTATTGCAAAATTTGTAGAGAGAAATTATCTCAAATTTTAGCTTTTAGAAAGAGAAAGTATCTTAAAATTTGAGAGAAAAACTATAGCATATTTTAGAGATAGAAACTACTTAAAAAAGTTCAGGAGAGAAAAAATCTCAAAACTATTGAAGAGGGGAACTATATCAAGATTTAAGTTTTAGAGAGAGAGTATCTTAATAGATTAATTTTAGAGAGAGTAAAGCACCTAAAACTTTTAGAGAGAACAATTTCAAATTTCAAATTTTAAATTTTGGATAAAAAGTATATTAAATTTTAGAGAGATAAAATTAGAGAGAGGAACTATCTCGAAATTTTTATAGAGGGAAAACTGTCTATACTTCCTCTACAACATAAAAGAACTATCCTCCCCCTACCATCCAGCTGTCAAATTTTGATCAAGAGAGCCATTCACCATTTGATTTTAGATTTGACGTCTCAAAGTATTTTATTGTTAAATTTTTTTTTTTTTTATACAAATTGTATGAATATGAAATTTGGTACGTGCCATCTTCTCATTGGGGTGCACCTATAAAAAAATATTAAAAATAATTTTTCAATAAAATATAATGATTAAAATACCTTTTGAAACTTTTAAGGGTATTTTGGTTATTTTATTTTATTGAAAATAAATTTTTTTTAACTTGCGAGTTTGATAGAGGATTGGACATCCAAAATTTAGTGTCAAAATAGTTTATAAAAAAAAATTAAAAACAAAATAATGTAGAGACATGACATTGTGATTGTGGCAATCGTAATAATCCATTCAGAATGGACGATTGGATACGGGAAAGTATATAAGTTTAATGGTAAGGGAAGCATAGAAAGCTTGCCCTTTTGTAGATACACTTTATCGAATTTTAAGTTTTAGAGAGTGAAAGTATATACATTTTTTAGAGAGAGATATTGTATCAAGTTTTGTTGCCAAACAATGGACATAAAAGTAATTGCA